GAAGATTATCAATACGGATTTGACCCTTTATACCCCCCACCCCACCCAACCCTCCCTCTTTAGGCGTGATCTCATTGCTTCACATTTACATCACAGCAGGATCTCTCTCGAAAAAAAACACACCTACATACACACATCCACACAAAGTGCAAACACTGGTGGCTACATGCAAAACTAACAGAGGGCTAATAATCTAGGGATATATTTCTGTGTGTGTGTGTGCATACACACCAGCAAAGACACAGTGGTCAGAGTAGTTAATGTTCTACCATGCGTTTGGTTTGCATGGAGACACAGGAGGAAATAACAGACAGTCGGTAGATATGGTGTGGTCCCCATTGCTAACTGTACCCGCCTAAAGTTTAGTGACTCACATGAAAAACCCATGATCAATAAGGAATGACCAACAAACATGCTGAAAAATGTGATAACTTTTTTAAAGCAGTGTTTAAAAGAATGCCAGCTTATTTGATCAGAGCCCAGCCTTGTAATCGATAGAAAGCAGGTGTAACTAGTAGGCTTATCAAGATGAGTCATTGAGTTTTTTGTAAACCTTTCCTTAAATATTTTCTTATTCTCTTCAAAGAAAGATTAAAAAAATAATAAAATTAAAAATGTATAATATATATGTATATTGAAGAGGCCAAATGTAAAGACGTCTAACAAGAGGAGTGAATTATAATTAGTATTGCCTAAGCATGTATTTTAGTAGATGGTGGGACAATCCTAACAACCTCAATAAGTCTGACAATGGAGGTATGACCTGGTCAGAGCATCTTCATAACTGCTCCTCTTGTATGGTGGTCCTGCGCTGTGGACCTGAGAGCTTGTAAAAACTATACCAGATAGCAGCAGGACTACTGGAAACAATGACTTATTAAAGCAATAATTACTCATTAATGCACTTCAGGGGAGCAAATTCTGGATATTGTTGTTTGATCCAATGAGAGAATAGACCTATCTTAAAAAACTAACCAAATACTTTATCTGATTACAAAGTGTCAGAATACCTGATGCAGTGCTGCTTTTCAGGATGCCTGCGCAGACCGTGACCTCCTCCAAACGTACCAAGAGGTTGTCTGGTTTGATGAATCTTGCTTTATTTTAAATCCCATAGATAATGTACAGGTCACTTACCTGAGGAACACATTGGACTAGGAAATTCTAAAGCAAGAGTAATGTTGTGGATACTATTTGGACATGGAGTATACGTACTTAAGCATTGCTAAAGACATGTAGGATACAACCCGTGACGGTATTACCTGCTGGCTGTGGACTCTGTCAGCAGTGATGTGCTCTTTCACAAAATAAAAAAAAAAAGGATTCTAAATGGTTTGAGAAGCAGAAGAACCAGTTAAACATTGGCCTTCCAAATCTGCCAAATCTAAATGTAATCAAGAATTTGTAGAATGTGTGTAACAATTCCAATCCATAGGAAACACACACCCAAATCTACAACTTTCATAATCAGCTGCTAACATCTTTTTTGGGAGATGCCACAAAACATCGAGTGTGCTTTGGCGTTTATGTGTCATTGCATTTTTGCTGAAGCAAACAGCTGATTTATTAATAATAGAATTAAAGGGAAATTTACATCTGGCAGAAAAATCCGGGCTGAGTGATCGACCATGAGGCAGAGCAATGGAAGAAACTGTGACAGCGATGAGGGGACTATAGGCAGGGGGAAGAGTGGAGAACGGGAAAAGAGGTGAGCATAATCAGCTGGTGGTGAGGAACAGCAGGGATTAGGGAGGGCAGAGGGAGTGTAGGAGTGGAGACTGTTAGAAGTTAAACAGAGAGAAACAAATATTAAAAATATAATGATATGGAAATTTAAAAATGACAGAAAAGAACTAAAATGGCAACAGCTGGCTCATTAATCAGAACAAAGTCAAGAACACAAAGAAGAAATATTAAGTAATGCAAACTTGGACAAAAAACATCGGTTTAAGCCACAAATTGATTGGCTCTGTGAACAATATATTTGCAATATATATTCTATTTTCTTATTATGGTTTAAATAAAGGTGGATAAAATGTACAACAAAAACATCAAAACAACATCATTTTTGAAAACATACACATATTTAAATATTATTGATATAATTTATACAAACTTTTATTTTCTTTTGTAATAATACATTTGAGAGCCTTTTCTAAAGGCCCCACCACCACACCCAAATTTCCATGCTGTGGAACAGTAAAGATATTTCTTATCTTATTCTTATCTTGTCTTATAAAAACTTCAGCTCATTTAAACATAATGTTTTTTTTGTTTTTTTAAAGATAAGAGATACAGGGAAACTCCCAACAGCTAATCCAAACAATGCTACCAAACAGAGGAGTTTCAATTAATTATTAACGTATACAATACAAAGAGTACCCAGAACAAACACATTTCACTTTAAGGGCCTCACCAAAAAGATGGCGAGTACTTAATATTAATTTTCAGGGAAATGCATAATTTTCCCTCTAAACTGACAAATTTGTGGCATAAGTCACAAATATTAAAGAATATTCATAAAATAGTTTTAGGCATTTTGCTTTTATTAGTGCTACCAGAGCCTTGAATTTAAATGGTAATCAAATAGTTCAAACATACTGCTGGGTATTTTGATGAAACACTGCAGGCATATAATTTTACATGAGGCAGAGAAAACAAGAATGAGAGCTATCTGAGGAGTTCAAAAGGATAAGTTCAGGTAAACATTACCAGGGTACACCAGCCGCCAGTTTTATAAAAAACAAAAAAAAAAAGTTCATGGTACTGCAGACAATTTTCCAGTATAAAGAGGTAAGAGGAATGTCTGATATCCACCAGCTGTTCCTCTCTGAACCTGTTATGCTTCAGAGAGGAACAGCTGGCGTAGACTTAGTTGTTAACTTACTCGTAGACTTTTCTCTCAGTTTACAACTAAGAAAAAAGCAGAAAAAATGCAAGTCTGGTCTTAGTCCAATGTACCTACATCTCTAAACGTTCTGAAAGGGCTTTGTTAGAGTTACCGGACAAAACTGAAGGTGTTTGTCCAGTTTAATCAGCCTCATGTTTACAGATGAAGCTTTAGAAGAGCCACAGCAACTGTGAAACGTGGAGGGAGCTTGGTTTAATGTCATGGCTGATTTGCTGCACATGGCACAGCAAACCTGAAATTTGTATAGGGCACAATTATCATGTAATCCTGGAATGATGCATGCCGACCAGTGTCAGAAAGCTCATTCTGAGGGAGATTGGTTTAAACTGGTGAATGCAGTGGTTTCATAGCAAAGTTTAGCAATCAGCTGCTGTATGTAACTAAATAAAATGTGAGATTTTTGTTAAAATATGCGATAAATTATAAGCAATCCACTAAACTGTTGGTGTTTTAAGATGTTGAACAGATAGCTGATGTCATTAATGAATAGCAATGTTTTTTTTTAGTTTTTTTTATGTACGTATATATAGCAGAGTATATACAGTTAAGATAATATGCAGAAATCTCTGCCGTCGGTGGATTACTGTGAAATCTCAAAAACTGAGTCCCCAGGCACTCACATATGATCTTGCTGTGTAATTCCCTGGTGAGATGGATTCCCTTGGTTCATTCACAAATTTCAGCTATCAATTTAAAAATATTTTTTCACAGAAATTGTCTGTTTCATACAGGCTTCTGGAACAATCAAACATTTTATATGTATTTTTAAAATATTTTGTTAGAGAGATTTAAAAGTAAGCTGTCTCAGCAGTATCACTGCAGGATAATTTATATGTTTAGGAGGAACATATTGTATGCTGACACTGACATGTCGTAAACAATTGGGCTGTATCCATTTTAATTTATTATCACGCATCCTGACTCTTAGAGGTCTTGAACTTGCCACCAACTTGCCTCTGCATAAGGTCCTCTTTAATGCAGATTAACCGTAAATTTTAGGAGGAATCTCATTAAAAACATGAAAACTTTCACTTCTTTTATAGACTAATTAGTTTCTTAACTGCTGTTGCAAAAAGAGAAGAGAACAAAGATCATGAGAAGCTGTAAAAAATATTTCTCAATACCCATTTCTCACATACGCATTGTTTTCAAACTGTGGCAGGTACCAGATGGTGATAAGGGGGCTTCCTTTTAGAGTTCTAACACGAATTTCTGTCATTACTGGATAGTTTTCAACAAATGCCAAAATTTGGTTATTCAAATGTGATTCATTGCAGATGTCATTCAATGGAATAGATAAAAAAAAAAAACATTTACATACCGTTTTAAAGTTATAAACTATATATATATATATATATGTATATATTGTTTATAACTTGATATATTTTGTGAAATATACACTAATACTTTGAACTTTGAAACACTGTCATGCAATGTTTATCAAAGAATGTTTTATAATGTCATATAATGTCATATGTGTGATTTCTTATTGGTTAGATATAAAAAGTTGGAAAGGTATATAACAGCTAATAATGGAGCTATAAGAGAGACTTTGGGCTGATTTTAAAATTCAGCCTTTTTGGCACATTTTTTTTTTTTTTTTTATCTTCAAACTTAAAATATCAGTCAAATATATTTTCTGAGGAAGCTTATTCGTTTATCTACACTAGCATAAAATAAAACTGATGTTAGTATGTTAGAAATTAGAATATAATTATTAAAACTTCCTTTTTATTAAGCTCAAAATCAAATTATTGATTATTGATCTTAAGTAAAATATAATAAACATATGATCATTTACTATAGATCTTTTGTAATTAGTACGAGTAATATAATTTTAAAATAATAATAAATATGACATATATCATTTTTAAAGTATTTTATTAACTGAAACAATAGCATTATAAACACAAAGGCTTTAAAATATCCATCTATACGTTAAAGGATGTGAATATAATAGAATTATTATAGCAAATTGAGTTGCAGGAATAAATGACCGTTTCAGTAATTCATTATCAAGATTTCCAAACAATCGATGCATTCTGCAATCCTCCCCTCCCTCTCTGCAGTCAAATGCAATCGATAACAAATTCATCGATCAGACGTTGAAAGTCCATTACGGTTTGAGTTGTTTCTGCATTTTTCCCTTGTTTTCTCAGTCTTTGTGGAAGGTTTCTGCAGGATGGCCACAGACCTCACCTTTTCATCCCGTCGGTCACCTGTGCTGTGTTTGCACGGCTGCGTGGCATCCAGTCAGCCCTTGGCCTCAGCCGTGGGTCTGGGTGAGTGAGTGGGCGCGTGCGTGGACAACAAGTGTTTGTAATACCCCTATCTATTCTTCACCTTTTATTTTATTTAACTTATTTTAAATGCATTCTGAAATGCATGCACAGTATGTCAATATTCTGCTAGTTTTATAAACAATAGACAATAATAAAGTGTTCAGACCTGCTGAAGTTAAACGGAAGGATCTTTGTAACTTGTTTGGTTATTTGATTTTCTCTTAAAGAAAGGAAATTGAAACAGTTTTCTTATCTTGTTTTTCTTTTAAAATACATAAACTGAAATGAAAATGCCACATACTAAGCGTTACTTTTTTGAGCAAAACTTTTGAAAATAATTACTTTCATCTTCTATTTAGATTAACAACAACAACAACAACAAAAAATGATAACTTTTTAACACACACACAAAAAAAAAAAATCTTTTATTTTTTGGATTCCCGTGTTGTTGATTTTCTCAAATTGCATGTTGCCACATCATTCCATTGTTGCTTTATCCCTTTTGCTTAACAAAATGCAGTTAAAACCTTAGGTTTGTTTTTCCTGAAATGGCAAAACTAGGCTTGTCATACACAAAAATCTCAGCTGAGATACTGTTTTACAAGTAGCTAACTGGTGAAAGGAGAAGATGTTCCGCAAGAAAGCATTTCACACTATAATCAGACACTCTGAGTGGTGAGCATGTGAGCAGCCTTGGGCCATAGTGAGAGAAGCAAGGCTGCCATACACTCAGTGCAATCGGTCACTCTGACCACCAAAAGTAGAAAAGGAATGTGTTGCCCAAAGACAAACACACTTGTATTGGTCAAAGCAGGGAATTTGAACCAGCAACTCACCAGTTGCAGGACAAATCCCTGCCTTCTTAGCCACAAGATTGCACAACCTCCTCATCAGACTTGCAGTAGATCTTGTTACTCTCTCACTTACTTGTGAAAAGTAAAAAAAAACATAAAAGAAAAAAAAACATATTTTTCAAATTTTAAATTGATTCTCATTTTAATTCCTAAAGATTCATCGATATGACCAGAGAAGGATTTAGAAAAGAAGCATCTCCTACTGTCTTTACATCCTCCATTAGGGCTGGATGATAGACACTTAAAATAATATCACTATTTGATGATAATATTGTGGTAACAATAAAAGTCATGATAATTTTTTTTTTTACTTTATTTAAAGGATAAATCAAAATTCTTGTCATCACTAGAAACGTATCACAATAAGGATAAATGATATGATAAGTAAGTACTCATGTAAGTGTAATAAAGTATTTGGTGAAACGAAAATGCAATTACTGAGTAACTGATACTTTACTAATAATGATCATAGCATCTGATTTAATCATTTAAAAACAATGTAAAGTTTAACAGCATATAAAATTAGATGTAAATTCTGTTTTTTAAAAGAATTAGATAAAAAAAAAATCATATAACAGAGGAGTCGCACAATAATAATTTCAGGTTAAAGAAACATTTTCCAAAAATATATATTAAATATATTTTTGCTATGAAGCTTATGAAATCAGTATATGTTTTATATAGAATAAGCTTCTTCCAGGATACATTAAACTGCTTACACAGCAGGATCAGCACATAAAATAAAAACACTCAAACATAAACTGTAGATTCAATTAAATTCAATAATACTTTATTAATCCCAAATGGAAATTCAGTTTCGATATGATATGTTTGTCTCTCTGGTGCAGTTTTGTTTAAAACAGGCTTATGCTTTACTGAGCGAAGTTACTCATAATAGGTGAAGCAGATAGAAAGTTTACTTAAGAGTAGTGATACTGTATCATATTTTTAATCAAGTAAAAGTAGAACGTACAATAGAGTAAACCGACTACTGAAGGTACTGTTTTTTAGTGGGTAAAATAAATGTAACTGAGTAAATGTAAATAGTTACTACCCACAACTGGGTATGAATGTCTGCATGGTACATTATTTCAGTTCAGTAGCTCTTATTTGTCCCAGTATGGGTAATTTGAATGAACTCTATAGACACAAAGGCTCAGTGCATCTTTTGATCATTTGGTATTCCTTATAGAAACAGGTATCAAACAACAACAACAAAAAAAAAAAAACGCGGCTGATTGATTTTTGTTAGCAAAAAAAAAAAAAAAAGCAAAAATCTAAAATGAAATACAGAACGTTTGTTGGCCGGTTTGTTCCTATTCCCAGACCAAGGTGTTCACATTACAAGTTGCCAGTGTTCTTTCCAGTCAGCATACATTGTCTGATCAGGATTTCAGCACAAACCAACAATATCTTTTATATCTTTTGAAGCGGCATACATTTCAATTTATCAAACATTTCAACCTTCAAAATGTTTCTATTTAAGGAAAACCAACTGACTGCAAGGACTCGTTGACTCTCTGGCTCTGCAATGCCTTGCACTGTGCGTGCTTGTAGTGACGGTGGAGAGGAAAGCTACATTTTAACTTGAAGAAACCTCCAGCAGAACCAGGCTCAGTGTGAGCGGCTATCTAACGAGGCCGACTAGGGTTCAGTCCTTTGGCCCTCTGGCCCCGGCAGAAGACTTCGGTGCTGTGAATACACATATGCATGGATGAGTAACCTAGAAAAGTAAAAGAGTAGTCTTCCCCCCGTGGTCAGGTCACTGGTTGGGGAATAAACCAGAGTATGAGTTGGACTTAGAATGAGGGAGGAGATGGGGTGGAGGTGGGTGAAAGTTTGCTTGCATGCTGGAGAGATAAGCTAGGCCAGGAGCTAAACTGAAGGGGATCTTATAAGATGTTTGGCTTCGGAGAAGGTGCGGCCCAGTGAGTTGATTGGCTGGAGCTGAACGAAGGACATTGCAGGTGGTTTAGGTAAAGCTGATAAAAGTCTTCCAGATTGAGTTTTTGCTTAGAATTCATTACTTGTAAATTTAAATGTTAGACCAGCATCTTGTTTTTATCTGCTGTATGACATCGTGATTACCCAGCAGTAAAGAGCTCATGAACGACCTAAACAAAAAACAAAAATCTGAAAATGAACAGTCTCCCAAGAACATAGCCTTTACTGTAAATTAAACCACTTTTATAGCTTTAATGTTTACTTAAAAACACAGAGTAAACATCGTACAGTATGTGTCAAACTCAAGGCCTGCATGGCGGACTCAACCCACCACAGCAATTTAGCTGGATCTTAAAGGTATAGTGGAGGATTTTTGCCAATTTTTAAAAGGCTTCCCCTCTCCACTAAAAAAAATGCACACATGTGTGCGGTAGTTTGTTTAGAAGTTGCTGTTTGCATCGCTCACACAACCTTACTTTCCAAAAGAAAATTAGCAATTTCTCCACTATATCAGACTCACCACCAGTAAGTAAAAATGGGGATGAGGACGTAGGAGGGCCTTACTTAAATATATCACCGGAATGATTGACAGGTAGGAGGACCACTTATTTTGACGATCCACCCAGGAAAGCCACTAAGCCTTTAAGATTTAAAGAGACATATGGACAAATGTGCCTTTTTATGTTTATGCTTTAAGGACTTTCATGTTTTCTTATGCAAAATAGAAAATAAAACGCAATTTTCAGCCTTTTATTTTTCAAACAAAAATGGTCATTTGATTTTTCTTACAGAAACAAGTAGAAAACAAAAAACATTTTAATATTTGATTATTTTTTTTATGTAGTAGAACATTTAAAATTGGACAAAGCTTTTCTCTTAATTGTGTCAAAAAGGGATTGTTGAAATTTGGAATATATTTGGCTCTTGTTTTTAGTCTGACTAACATTACATGAACATAAAAACAAAAAATACTCATTTTTTTCAACAAATGTTCTGATATCCACACTGTTTTCACAAGGGCACCAAATTTGACGGGGAGATATATCATAGGGTTGGGTATAGATTCAAATTTGAATAATCAAATCAGTTCTGATTCTCAAGAATTGCAATCGATTGTTTTTGATCAGTTACAGCCCAATCTCAAGTTGTATTGCTGGCATTAAAAACATTTCAAAGTTATTACCTAAATTACATTGCTGTGTAGTTTTGCAACATATTGATACTAGTATTATATTAACATATAAGAGCTAATAAATACAGTAATAATAGGTAGTGTCACTTTTTAACTTTTACTTCAGTAAAGACATGCTGAAACACTGCTATTCTTAATTGACAAATGACAGATTTTTTGTTAAGATTTGGAAATTGCTTTTTAGAGATACTCTCTAGCCAGTCTAATAGACAGTATTCTGTGAAAAATAAAGGGCAGTTTACTTTATTCTTTTGGTGTGTCAAATTGGCTCAGGCACCCAGAAAGACTTGGTAAAGAACAATCTACCAGGTGTTACTTATGGAGACTGTGGGAAACAAGGTAACTGTAACAACACAAGAAACTGCATGTTGGCAAAGAGTAGGAATGCCATAAACCATTTAATAATATGAGTGTGTGTTTATGTCCAGATGTCCTTAAGCGTGGCGGGAATGCTGCAGATGCAGCAGTTGCCATAGCAGCAGCTCTGGCGGTAACCGAGCCATGCAGCACTGGGCTTGGGGGTGATGCCTTCTGCTTGTTCTACGATGGAAACACTGGAGAAATCCAAGGGATTAATGGCAGGTTGAGACCCTACTTTTTAGTTTTTTTCCCCCTGCTGTTGTTGTTCAAACTCCATCCTGTTGTTTAAACTTCATCCTCTGCCCTCAGTGGTCGTTCACCTAAAGCTCTTACCCTGGACTTTCTGGAAGGACTTGGTTACTCAGCAGAGGCTCCTCCTTCAGTTTTTGATGCTTTGAATGTTACTGTCCCAGGAGCTCCTGCATGCTGGTGTGACACTGTTCAGTTGTTTGGAAGCCAAAAGGTTTGTCTGCTTCTATTGTCATTACATTTTGGTGATTATGTATTATCGTGTGTTGTGTGCAACAATAAGGGAGTCAAAAAAACTATTTAGCTTGAATTGACTTCACATAATCTCTCCTAAGGGCTTTTGTTGATACAAAAAATCATATCCTAAAAATAACAACTGAATGAAGTAGGTATAAATTAGTAAAGGAGACTATTCCATCTGCATCTGTGATTTTTTTTAAATTTAGGTTAGAGCCTTGGTAACTTTTTCATTTAGAGACATAGCCCCCCCAACGTGTCTTGGGTTTTCCTTTGGGACACACCTGGAACACTTCCAGAGGTATCTATGGTAAATTTGAAAAAGATGCTTGAGCCACCTCTGCTGACTCCTCTCAATGTGAATGCAAAGCACCTTTATGAGCCCTTCCCTGATGACCGAGCTCCTAATCCTATCTTTAAGGGACTGCCTAGTCTAACCTGGCAGTAGCCAGATTGATATGTGTAGAACAGAGTTGAGTTCTAAGTTATCAATCTGGGATGGCTGCTGTTCAGTCTGTTTGTGAAAAGGAGGGATGTTTAGTACAATACCTCGAGCTGATTGGGTGACATACCAGCTAGTAGCCACCTTCCATAATACGCTTTTAGCCAATCTTAGCAGCAAATCATGATGTTTCAGGTTCTTGAGTGTTTTCACAACTAGCGGAGTAAGCTGATAAATCAAACTTTTTCCTGTTGGAAGAAAAGCACAGACATCTTTACCATCTACAAATTCACAAATTGCTTCTCTTTGCTCCTTTTTTAAACAAGAAATTGTCACTATTTTAGCTAAAGCCAAGTCAATTGCGGTATCAACAGGTGAGTCCTCCAGCATTTGTTTTGCTTGGACAAGGCCCTTCTTACTGTCATCAATCTAACATTTCCTGCCCCAAAAAACACTGCTGGCATGTCATTGGTCCGGCCCGCTGGTGGTTTCGAGACGGACGTATTAGCGAGAGTCTGTCAAGATGGATTTGTTGTGAGACTGAAAACTCAGATCTCCCAACAATCCAGCTTACAGACCAAGGTTATGCATCGTCAACCTGCAAATCTCATTTTGGCTGCTTGCATACTGGATCTCTTTCTTTCTGTAATGATCCAGATTTCATGAACATAGGTAAGGGTAGGAACCTAGAATGACTGGTAATTCGAGAGCTGTGCCACAACAGACTGGTCACATTGATCTGTCCATTGATCTCCTGCTCCATTATCTTCTTACTCATGAGCAAAAAACCGTTTTATTCTAGAAATTCTATCCTTAAAGGTTATGAACAGGACTGGTGAGAGAGGGCATCCCTGCTGGAGTCCAACAAGCACCAGGAACGGGTCCAACAAATTCAAACTCCTGCTTTGCTTATACAGATCCTGATTGGCCCTTCATAAAGGGCCCCCAACTCTGTAATCCTGGAGTGGCTCTTTCAATAGATTCCCCTGTCTTTTTTTTAAACCTGGGGAGTTCAGACTTTTTATTTCACAGACAGCACTGCAGAAGTGATGACGGCTTGCATGAAGTTCCTAACACCCCAAAAACGCCTGGATTAACTTTTCTGATTTGTTGACGCTCTGCATCCAGCTTCAAAAGTTCAGATTTCTGAACTCCAGCGTGGAAAACTTGGATGCTGGGATGCCAGGACCTTCTGAAGCTCAGATGCTCGGATGCACCACTCCTGATGCTCGGAAGTGCTGCAGGACCTCTCGATGCTGTTCGAAGCTATCCCCCGTATACTTTGCATGTAGATCAGATGCTTTGATGACCAGATTGCATTCAATGTGAAAGCACCATAATCTTTTCCCCAAGTTCACAAAACATACTTGACCGTTTGTAAACTTCCATGGACCCTTGAATGTATGAAGTTAGAAGAACTTTCTAAATACTATACGTGCTTTAATGTTATAAAAATAATTCAGTCTAAATTAATGATTTATCAGCAGTTCTAGAGAAGTTTCCCTATGGCTCTATGCAGTGACTCTGCTTTTGCTCCACAGTGTTTCCTGTTATACGCATTTATTTCCTCTTTTTGTTTCTGTAGCTGTCTATGCAGGAGATTTTGAGTGGGGCTGTGGAGCTGGCTGAGAAGGGCTTTCCTGTTGCAGAGGTGACATCACACCATTGGGCAGGGTGGGTGGCTGCCATGAGAGATTCCGGGAAGGATCACGGGGGGGACTTGCTCATTGGTGGCCATCCACCCAAACATGGTCAAGTATTCAAAAACCCCGCAATGGCTCAAACCATAAAGGTAAATCATTAAACTAAAATAAAATAAAAACTTAGTAGAACTTTCTCTATTTTTTTTGCAATCTTTGTGGAAAAGACTTGAATGAAGCCAAAGTGTTACTGGAGATTCACATCTAGATATAAAAAATACAGCAGCTAGTGAGGGGAGATTTCATTATTTACAATATATGCAATGAAAATCTATTCTTTTTGTTGCTATTGAATTGTGTAATATCTACAGTATAACTGACCTGACAAGATCAAAAACTTATTCTAAATTCTAGTACTCCTCTATTCTATGAGCTTCATCACCCAGGGTTACATGAGTCATCACAGGTATTTAGGCACCATTGGGAGAACATGAGGAGATTAAAAATATTATGTCATTGCTAACAGTTTTATACTTCAAAAACTATTGAATAAAAAAACAAACAATACAGTCATCTTTTAAACAATCTGCAAATAGGTCTATAATTATATATTGAATATGACTATATCCCTCTTTCATATTGATATTAAAATAATGGATCTATGTTCTTTTTATTTAAAGAAAGGAGTTTTCATACTTTTTCATATCAAATACATGACTTTCCTATTCCTTTTACACTGTATACAAAGGGGAATGACTGTGACATGTGTCTATGTAATGTAATATTTATAAAACTCCCCTCATTTGGCAGTTTCCTGTTAGTTGAGGTTACTCTGAGGGGATGTGTGTGTGTGTGTGCTATCACCACTAAAGGAGATGTGTGATTTCTATGCAGTGCTAAAAAGCTGTTGAATGTAATCCCATAAAAATCTCCATACACTCATAACACAAACACAATGTCACATTGCAGAGACAGAAGAAACAATAGCAATGACCTTACCCTCATTGATGGGGGCAGTCATTCCTTGATGAAGCCAGTGTGTCATTTCCTCACTCACTCACCCTTACACAACATTTGAGTCATTCCATTGATCCCAAACGGGCACGACCTCATTCATGCATCATGTCTCATATAGTCATGATGCTTATATAAGCATGTAGATAAAAATTTTGCTTTGTTGAATGAAACTGTCTCAGCTGTATCTAATCTATATAATATCAGGAGCTTGGTGAGCGAGGAAAACCAGCCTTCTACCAGGGCAGAGTGGCCCAAGCTATCATTGATGTCATCAACCAGAATGGAGGGGTTATGACACTGGAAGACCTCAGCAGCCATGACAGTGAGGTCGTCAGCCCCATTAGCACAGAGTACAAGGTCCCAACCCAGAGCTGCTTATCATATTTGTGTTTTTTTCTTTTTCTTTTAACGACACTCAGCAGAGTGACTGGCTTTATTTTATTTTCAGGGTGTGCGTCTGTGGGAGCTTCCTCCCAACGGACAGGGCCTGGTCGCGTTGCTGCTCCTCAACATCTTGAAAAATTTTCCTCAGCTCAAAGGTACACAAAAAGCTAAATAGATCAGACATGAGCTTGAAAAAAAAAAAAACATTTATGCAGACCTTGATTATTTTAAAATCTCATGGGTTCTATTATGTGAAATAAGTTGAACAAACTTCTACTGAGTTGTGCTTTTAGAAAGGTTAGGGTCCTAGAAATAATAGTTTTCCAGTGCCTTAAAAGGATTAAAATTTTACTGAAAGTTTGAGACTTTTTTTTTTTTTTTTTTACAAAATTGAAGCCTGTTCACGTCTGGATTTAAAAGGTTCTCCACAAAATAATAAAATAAATAAATAAATAGATTATGTAATTTGTCACTTAATTGCATATAGTTCCTTTTGTTCTTCGGAAGGAGGCTTTTTTCTTTAACATCTCAAAACCTATGTATTTAAGCTGTATTATCTTAGACTTTATTTAATGTCCTATACAATTAAATGTAAATTTGTTTGGACAGATATAACAGAAATAGTTCATAATATTATAATATAAAGGCTCATATAACTACTTTTTTCATGGTTTTCATGACAACAACAAAACATCTCTTACAGATTTAACATTGAACTCCCAAAACAGTGCTTTTTCATGTTGTCTTTTTTGCCTGTTTAAGTCACATGATGCACAGAAGTTACCTGACTGCATAACCATTATATTTGAACCCCAGGCTGGTCTAATATTTGTTTCCATGACTGTAGTGTTTGATATTTAGCCTGTATTTGTCAGGGTTTGGTTGTGGTTTAGAGGACCCGATTGCAGAGGCAGGGAGGCAGAGGTGATTTCTTGCAGTTTTAATTGGTGAAAACAGTAAACAAAGGCAGGAATCCAAAAATCCAACTAAAAATGTTAACAAACCAGAACCATGGAGACATCAGGGGGAAACAATAACAGGGGCCAGGGTTAGAGGAGGTAGACGACAAGCAGCGACGAGGAACCAGCAAAGAGTGACAGCAGAGGGAGAGTTATGTATGGCTGACTGAACAAAGGCAGGGCTAACGAGCTGATAAGGACCAGGTGTGAGTGGAGAGCAGTCTAGGAAGGAGCTAGGGAAAAGGAGACCAACACAAGAGGGCAACAAACAAAATACAACAAAATATTAATTAAACCAAAAAAAACTAGAAAACATGGAGCAAAGTAAAGCATAACAGAACGAAGATCATGACAGTATGTATAAGCTTGCAGGGTCTGAGCTTAGGGGTTAAAATCCCTGGAATATCTAGACCTGGGAATACTGGCACCTGTTTTAAATGGTTTCACACATATGTATTCAAAACTATTTGAATTCGCCTCATTAAACCTCTTAAACTGCAGTGATAAGGTAATGGTTATATTATTTAAATGTATCTGGCTGCTAGGTTTCCTTTTTATATGTCCAGTAAAGTAGATGTAGAAATATATTATTTTCTTTTGTGCAAACACATATAGATTAGGATTTCTAGTGCTAGATAAAATGTTTGCCTTTTTAAAACATGGCAGATCCATTAACATACTTGTAAGCTTGTAACCACTCTGTTGGTAGGTCAATGGAAATCGGAATCAGAGAGAATTTACACAGTTTAACAGCTACTAATCTGTTAACATTGAATTTTCTGCCAGCGTATGTGCAAACCTTGAATAGTTTGGTCTAATGCTTATCTTTCCTGAGAAAGTTAGACATTTTTGGAAAGTTACATTTTTATTTGAAGGTTAGCCTTTAATATGATCTCACTGTCATTCTTTGCCAGCTCAAGGCCACAACAGCTCAGACTACATCCATATATTTGTGGAGGCCATACGTTTAGCGCAATCAGATGCTTTTCGTTACCTTGGCGACCCTGCCCATGTGACTATCCCTTTAGAAAGCTTACTGGCTCAGAGATACAGCGAAGAACGGGCGCGGCACATCAACATGGACAGGTGTGTACAACTGTGTCTGCTGGTGCCATGATGTACCAGTTGTTCTTTGTTGACTTTAGATAGGATTGTAGACATTTACTTCCCCTGACCTTAACGCTCCTCTCTCTTTGTCTCATTCCCCACATCCAAAGGGTGTGGGCTTTTATATTTTGTGTATTTACTGACCAGCACTGTGTACTTTGAACTTTAAATTATTATCAGTCATATGACAAATTTACTGACCATAAAATTATAAAAACAGAATCATTTATATCATATACAGGCAGCCACACACAGCCCAATGATATATTCTATGATGTGACGTTGGTTTATACCTTAATCGGATTTTTCGTCAATGTCCTGATCCACAAATGCGGGCGAAGTATCTAAACCTTTTACAGATTTCTGGATGGGACACTTGGCTTACCCATATTTAGTAAGGCAAGGGGAAAAAGATGATGAAAAGCAGGAAATTAATTATATAATAATCTTTACTTGTATCATAATTGTAACTGCACTGCATTAATATAATTTTAAATGCCTCTGTGGGCTAATATACTTACAGAAAACCCTCAAAGATAAGTTTTAAAATGTGGATCCTACTTACTTTGCTTTCCTTTCTTTCTAACTTTTTTTGTGGATCTACAGGGTGATAGAGCGAGTGGAACCAGGCCTGCTGACAGGAAGTGACACAGTCTATTTCTGTGTGGTTGACAGCCAGGGAAATGCTTGCTCATTTATCAACAGCACCTACATGGGATTTGGGACTGGACTGGTCCCCAAGGGCTGTGGGTTCTCACTCCAGGTCTTGTGCAAAGAAGTTTCTTGCTCGTAAAGCTTATGAAAGTTTAAATAATGTTCTGTTTTTAGTTGTGGTTGGGGGACATTTTTCATGCTATTTTTATTTAAATATGCAAAATTCAAAAGGAAAAAAGGGATCTCAAGGCAGCCATATATACTTAAAGTTGCCCAAGAGTAATGCTCTTATACTTGGAATGTCAAGAGAACAGCATAAATGGATATCACATTGTCCAATCCTGCAACAGACTGGTGACCTGTCGGGGTGTATCTCACCGCTCTCGTGTTCTGGAATTTAAATTTGGTTAGATTTTGTTTTTAATGTTTAAAATCATAGAAAACATTCATTTCCGTTAGATAAAAACCTAAGCGTATGCCGATTTGACAGTGTATGCTGTTCTGACCCTTGCAGAATAAGCGGGAGAAGATGGATGGATGGACATTGTCCACTCCAGGAGTAGAACATAGAGAATACCATATTGTACACTCCTTTACTAACACCTCCTGAGGCAGGGGTTATCCAAGTCTCTCCCAAATACCTGAGCTCCTCACCCTATCTCTAAAGGAGTGTCCAGTCACCCTGTGAAGAAAGTTAATTTCAGCTTCTTGTATTCAGGATCTTGTTCTTCGAGTCAGGATACAGATTTAATGAACATAGTTGAGGGTAGGAATGTAGACTGACCAGTAAACCAGGAGCTTTGGTGTTTTGCTCGGCTCTCTCTTTACATCGTTTCCTGTCAGTGGTGTCAAGCTTATGTTCCCCTCTTCTAACTTAAAGCTTTGCGACCAGCTGGTTTCATCACAGTCTGCAAACAACCATATTTTCTCATTCTGAGACATTTGATGGGATGACTTTTGCCAACTACATATAATTAAAAACAGAGACATTCGGTCATGTTATCATGGGCCTTTATTTTTTAGCTAAAATTGACCATGTTGAAGCTTAACATCATAACCCACAGTTGCAAAGATCTGGCTCCCTGTCTGTTGTGTATGTCATCTTTCACATAGACAATGTGTTCCTGCTCTTTCTGCTTTGATCTCCTGCGCCTGGAATGTCAGAAAGTGACAAGCGTAACCACAGACTGTAGGAAGTAGTTAAATTCCAAAAAATGTGTTCAAATACCATACCACCAGTATTGAATACAATACATCAATAAATAAACAAATAAATACAATACCAAATCGTACAAAACAACATAAAAAACATTTTCTTTAAAATGTGTACAACTGCTTTTTATTAATATTGTTACATGCGAACCAAAGAAAACAGAGCAACATCTGGTTGCATTTTCTGTCTATGTTCTGCGCAAACTTTGGAAACATGAAAATGAAAATTACTGTTAAATAAACAATTTTCATACCTGATGAACCTCATGTAAACAGACATAACCTCCCATTTCATTGGTGGCCTGGCTGCCGACTCCCTACTTCAGCTATCTTTCCAAGCAATGGCATAAACTGAGCTTTGTTTCCTTTCCTCAGAGTTGGTTTTTCCTTTCAGATTGTTCCATAATCTTGCTTCATTAATGGCTTTCTATGCCCAGACTCTATTTTGGTGAATTAAGAGAGATCTGTGTTTTTATATTTCTACTTCCATCCATCTTCTCCCACTTATTCTGTTAGGGTTGCGATGTTGCCGCTGCCTATCTTTGACTGTGTATGGGAGCGAAGCGGGGTACACATCTGATTTAAAATTGTTGATATTTGTTGATATTTCAAGACTTTTAGATCTTAATGCTTTATAGTCTGCTGGCAATTTGCCTTTGAATCAAATATATCCATGTCAAAGATAAATAATATTAAATTTTCAAAATGGAAAGCAATAAAGTTAGGTAGTTGCTGAAAGGCTTAATAAGCGCAAATATCTTTGGCTTTATTAATTAGCCATAAAAAACAAAACTTTACCTAGTGAATAAGTTGGAAACTGTTTGGATGCTTAAGTACATTTTGTCGACTATATGCGTCAGGGTGAACCAAGACCAGGAAAACATGATAGTCTAAGCATTAATAAAACGGTTGCATATATTATTACTTTATTATCCTGTTTTGCATATTATCAACCCTTCATGGCAACGGTAATGAATGGCTTGTTTGTGTTTTTGTAGTCTAATTTTGTTCAGTGATATTACAAATGAAGCCCTTTGAAGTCCCCTGACTTAAAAAAAAAACTTTATATAAGTTCAGGTCGTTTATGAAATCTTTAGTGGAAAAATTTTTATTTTTTATTTTTTTTATCTTATTTGTTTTCCTTACTTATACATAAATAAATTGAACTTAGCAGCAAACTTATATGATATCTTCTGTATATACATACATTATTCTCTCTCTGGCAGAACCGTGGGGCTAATTTTTCCCTGCAACGTGGCCACATTAACTGTGTTGCTGGAGGGAAGCGGCCATATCACACTATAATACCGGCACTCCTCACCGACTCTTTGACTACCTCAGAAAAGCCCCAGCTTCTTGCTGCCTTGGGTGTCATGGGGGCTTTTATGCAACCTCAAGGACACATCCAGGTATGCAGTAATCCAGAGTGGATTCATGATTTAAGGCTCACAAAAGCTTTTTTTGAGGTTAAGCTAATAGATGTATCATGCGCAACATTGGATTCCGCTTTTTTGTACTATTTAACATGTTAGTAACTCCTCTATTTCAATAAGGTCATGTTGAACATGGTGGAGTTTGGGATGAATCCTCAAGAGGCTGTGGATGCACCAAGAGTCTTTGTACAGTATGAAGAGAAAAGTATATATCAAAACTTTTTCAAAAGCTCAAACACTAAAAGATAATTGCAATGTCTACACTACTAACATAATATAGCGTAATCATTTCCTGTCAGCCCTACTCTTTATTTTCATACAGTAGGATTGGATATAGCTTTTTGATCTGTTATAACTGAACAGTGGATAAAAGGACACTTATTCATAAATTTTATATCTGCTCCAAAGATAACACTTTATATATTACTTCGGCTGAGTTTGCTCTTTTTCATCATGTATTTTAGGATAATTAATATTAAGTTAATAACTATACATATTACCAAGGAGCAATTATTTTTTATCTACCATATTGTTGTTCTTGTCTTTTAGCTGATCAGTGGGTAGTTAATTTAGAGGAGGGGATCGACCAGGAGGTGGCTGTGGAGCTGAGGAGAAGGGGCCACAATGTCAATTGGCCTGTTAAAGGTATGCTTTTGTCATATATATATATATATATATATATATATATATATATATATGTGCGTGTGTATGTATGTATAAAAAAGTGATATACAAAGCCCTTTTGTACTATAGTATGGATGTTTCTTAGCGACTTTGATTAAAGATGTTTAGTGTAGTCAGCCACAGAAAGTCATTGTGTTACAGTTATTGTTTTATTGATTTATAGTACAGTAACATCCATAGTCAAATATTGTTGCTAAAATAACATTGTCTTAATGTCATTAAACCAGTTTCCATAAAGCCATGTAGTTCCCTTTGCAAGCAGGATGTTGATGTTGTTCCTCTTCTGTTCCTTATCTAAGATACAGAAGTTAGATCACTTTTCCTGAAAAATGTCAACAGATAAAAGTGTAACAAACATCACCTTTTCTTCCATTTGTAAGGAAGCCTTAACTAGATAGAGTAAATATCTAACTTAAATGAAAAATTATATAAATAAATGTAAAAAAAAATAAAAATAAAAACTTTTCTAGCCTTAATTAAACGTCCTCCTGTACGGGCTGAAATAGAATACAAATAGAATGCAATTTCTGGATTAGTATAGAAAGTTAAATTTAAGATTTAATATCCTGATTTATCTAATTCAGCCATAGAATTAGAAATAGCCTTGAAATCCGTGGATTTTGAGTGAAATTGTTTAGAAAAAAAACAAAAACTATTTGAGAACTCTAATTTTAATCCATCTTTGTATGTACACTCACAGGCCACAAGAGGGCTCAATTTGGGCGTGGACAGATAATCACAGTGGGAGATTGGTGGAAACACTCCATTACTCAAGCCAGCTCTCAATCCAGGGTACTGTGGGCTGGATCAGACCCCAGAGCTGATGGATGTGCTCTGGGATACTAGAAACACAAAGACCAGAATGATCAAAACCAAATTAATACAAATGAAACATGTCTGATTTCTGTAAGGTGGATTAGGATAAACTGTCTTTTTTAGTTCCACTTTTTTTTTTTTTTACTTCAGTTTTATGAGTCAACCAAATGAGTTTATTGTTGGTTAATATTTGACAAATAGCCAGCTTTATATCAGTGTGTGTTAAGAGTTCACATGGAACCCTTTTATTAGGTGATTTATGTCCTGATATCAGTGATCATCCTTGTCTTTTCTGCAAATGTTCAGCTCATTATGATTACTGAATTTAATCAGATTTACAGAGTAACACATTTGAATTATTCAACAAATAAGATGACAAATCTTTTCCACTGGCTCCACCCCACTCAGCTTGGGTTTGGGAGTTTTTCCATTACTGTTTTCTTTCACCCTAGAGATTTCTACATTAATATCTGTTCTGTAACAGGGTTGAACATGACTATAGTGTGACATGAGGAGTCATTATAGTTACTAGGGATGTCCTAATCCAATATTGATATTAGAAATTTGTCTGATCTCAACCAACACACAAGTATTGGAATTTACTGATCCATCTATCGATGAAACATTGCTTCCTGTCGGTGGTGACAAGCTTACCCTCCCCTCTTTTAACTTGAAGCAGCGCAACGAGCTGCTTTCAACAAAATCTGCACACAACAATATTTTTCTCATCAGAAATGGCATTTGCCAACTACAGATAATTCAAAACAGAGACATTTGGTCATGTTATCATGGGCACTTATTTTGTAGTTAAAATATACGTTGAAGCTTAGCATCATAACCTACACGCTCTTTGCACATTGTGCTGTGGCTCTTTCTACCTAATCTCTATGGTTCTTTCCCCTAAAAGGTGTTCATGCTCTTTCTTCTTTAATCTCCTGTACCTGGAACATTAGCCAGTGACAAATATTCTAACCACAGAGTGCAGGAAGTAGTGAAATTCAAAAATGTGTTCAGATGCCATATCACCACTATGGAATAGAATTATATGTAGGGGTGTAAAAAGTACTTTTATAGGGAAAAGAAAAGAGAAATTTTAACTTACGGTAATACTGGAAGCTGCTGCTGCCGCGGTGCATCCTGGGGCAGCTATCAATCTCAAGAATGGAGAAGTTAAACCATTTCTTACAAAACAACATAAAACAAACATTTTATTTTAATTGAGAGGTTAAAACTGTTATTTCAAACAAAACCATAAGTATTGGAATATATTGGCATGGATCTAAAATCTTTTATATAGCATGCTAATAGCAACACTCCACCTTTTACCTCCTTATGTTTTAAAGTGTATGTAACTTAGTTGGTATAATCAACGGGTCAATTGGTCCCATTCCTATTGTTGTTGACAGTTCATCTCTGTTTAAGTAATATCACTTATTTTTCAAACGTTCTACGCAAAATATAGAATATATATAACTATATATATATTCACCTAGTGGTTAAAACATTGTGCTTGGGTGCTTGACCAAAGACCTTTAACCTCACACTGCTCCCTGGGTGCCACACAATGGCATCCCCCAAGGGGATTGGTTCAATGCAGAGAGTGAGTTTTGTTGCTCTGTACTTGTGACAGTGTAATGACAAAAAAAATAATAAAATCCTTAAGCGGTTGCTTTTTATGAGTTTCCTGTTATCTAAACTTTAAATGAACCTGGAAGTTTAATCAAATATAAAATGTTCAATATGAATTAATATACTAAGTAATTAATACATTGATTGATGAAAAGGTCAACATATGAAGGCATTGTTTAGTAATCAACATCACTTTGGTGCATGTGGTGGGATAAGTAAGTCAAGACGTTCAATTACAATATATGTGGATCTGATTATTATATTTAGTGTTATTTAAAAAAAAACAATTAAGCAATTAAGGTCTCCCTCAAAAAAGAGATTTTATCTCAAGGGACTTCCTGGTAAAATAAAGGTTAAATAAAACAAAAACTAACTGTTAGCACTTAATATTTATACAGGTTTATTGGCCTTAACTGTCTATAAATCGTTATAATGTGGAAATATACAAACATTTCTAGCAAGTTAAATGAAAAAAAAAAAAAAGTATACTTTGTAATATAGTTAACACCTTTTCATGAAAGAACACCAGCAGGACTGTACTCCTTGTATTTTCGTATGAAAACTAAAAACAGTACCATGCAAGTGAATTCAGTAAGTACCAAAACTAAACAAACATTAAAAAAATAAAACATTCATGCAGATGTCCATATGTTAAGAAGTTCCTCAGAGAGAAATCCACCCAGCGTTTTCTGCTGGAACTAGGTGGGCTTCAAGCAATGACTCCAGCTGCCCATGGAAAGACAACAGGGTCCAAGTAGAGCGCAGTGAGGCGCACTGGAGTGGAACCAAGTGGGGTCAGTTGAGCCAGTGGAAAAGATGGATTTATTTCGCTACTTCATACTCTGTACCTTTTATTTGTCAGTTTAATCTTTAATGTTCTGTGTTTTTTTTTACTGTACATTTAAAAATCATGTTTTTTCCCCTGTTGTTTTAGTTTTAAACTCTTCATTTAAGATGATTAGTCTGCTGACTATTGTTAGTTACTTACTCAAACTTACTTTATAGTTGTTTAGAAATGTTAAATAAACTAAAATGCAACACTGTTTAAATCCTTTGTTCCTATCTGAGTGTATTGTTTAACTCTATGCAGCTAGCATAGTAAAAACTGAAAATTTTGATATTGTCTTTTGTAAAAGGGGGTTCTAATTTCCCCTAAGCAGGAAAATGTTGACTTTTGTGTTGTGAATATTTCTTTTGAGAGTAACATTTCAAATATACTATTCTGCTTTGAACTTCGAGAAAGAAACAAAAACAATTGTCATTCCAGACTTACTGTATGATGTCAATTTAATTTGAAATGAATTTAAAAAATAAACTGGAGAGGGCTTTTAGTTTCCCTAATACAGAAGATTTAATTCATTTAAGTACAATCTGTAAATCACTGGTACATAATTAGGGTTGAAAACACATTAGTTTTGCTTGTTGATCACATAAACCCAGTAAAATGTAAAGGATGCCACAGTTTGCTAAAAAAAACTATATATATATATATATATATATATATATATATATATATATATATATATATATATATATATATGTTGTGCCAATTCACAACATGTCATCTCAAAACATTTTACAGACAGTTCAGTCAAATCAAGCTGATTGCATTGAGTCACTGACTTTGAAGGATTCACTCCTCCTGGATGAGCATGTGGCAACAGTAGATATTTAATAGCATTGTTTCAGGGTTCTTCAGCAATTCCTCACACCAACCATGCATGCAGCAACAGTGGAGAGGAAAAACTCACTGGACTGGGGTGTTAAAGAAGACAGAAGCAGATGCAAAAAAACAAAGAAACGCTGATTGTAAATACATTTCGATAATGGATAAGGTAACGGTAAACTAGCTTGAACTGCTGTTCTTGTTTTGGTTTGAAGGTAACTTGCTGTTCAGGTTAGGAATCCAGTGTTGGTGTGCTTGTTTAGGACTGAAACACAGATATGAGGCAGGCCATGCATTTATATTCTTGAATTTAATGAAATAATCAAAGTTAATCAAAATTAAAAAACCGTTTGCAAAGAGAACCAAACATCACTGAGACTAGAAAGATAGAGGAGGGGGAATGTAGAACAAAGAAGAGGAGAGTCTAATTAGATGAAACAGCAGCTGTATATTTATATACCCCTGTGTTACTAATTGAAAGATCAATTTTGTAGTTTCTGCCTTAGCAGGGGGTTGTTATTGTTTTAACCAGTCTCGACTTAAACACCAAATCTCCCCATGTTGGACTTTGTCATTAGAGTAATCTTCTTACAGATCTAAACCCAACCTGGTACAATCCATTTACTCAGCTAAAAACCCACCTATACATAATCCAGGCAACATAATCTGCTCCAAATGAAAGGGCTAAAAACCCGGTGTCCCTTATGTTTAGTTCCAGCTTTCACTTACTTTCATTCTTGTTGCCTGTTGAACTTTTGAAAAATGTGCGCATAGTTTCTACACAAGTGTTTACCCCATTAACCCTGGTCCTTTTAAAAAAACACACACAAAAAAAATACTATACTATAAATAATATTGCAGTCCTTTTTTTTTTATTCATACATACAAATAAATATCATACCAAATTAAAATTTTCTAACTATCAACTGGACATTGTTTCCTCTGGTTTACATGGATGAAGATTATTACTTTCTTCCTCACCCTTTCAGGTTCTGCTACCTAAAATCCTGTGAAAAATGCATACATCTTTTAAGATTTTTTTTTTCTTTTGTAACAGATGTGTATTGGTCAGCTGCTTTCTTGTGAGTGTAAATGTGTTTCCTCATGAATGTACTGTCATGGGAGAAGCCCCACCTCACCCCCCCAACCCTGGGTCCTGCACATACAGCACTGACACAAACAGTTTCCTGTCTCTTCAGCTGTGCCCCCACTTCCCTCCACTCCTTCTCAGTTCCCCTTCAGCCCATTCCAGCTCCTTCGTTGTAACCCTGTGGTTGGGATTTGTCTTTCTGGTGTGAACGATGTGTTGTTCGGTGGGTTTTGCTCGGGCCATGGGCCTGGCTCTGCTGCCACTGGCAGTCTGCTGTATCCTGGCTAACCTGCTGCTGCTGTTTCCTATGGGAGAAATCACTTACATTAAGCAGGATCGTCTAGCTGGCTACATCTGGTACTTTGGTGGACTAGGAGGTGGAGGTCTATTGGTGAGTCAAAAATGGAATTAAATATGAGGAAACCTGTTTGATTTATATTGTAAATGGTAAAGTTCAGGCCCAAATACAGAGCATATTTTTACTTTTACAAATATAATATTTTAACAACACTTTTCATCCCTATTTACCCAATCAATATCTATTTTTACAATTTTTAATGTTGAATTTAAAAATTCAACATTAATTCAAAAAGAGTCCCCTCCCTTCCTTCATCAGTGAATAACATTGGTGCAGCTGTTTAAAAATGTGCCTTAGAAAGAATTTCTTTGTTAAATTAAAAAGAGTTGTACTCTGAAAAAAAACATTTTGAGAGTTTGTCCCCTTTGACACCATTCAGTATAAGTGACCTCGCACAGTTGTTCAGCAAGAACAATGACGTGTTTTGTACGTCTATAGTTAATCTGTCTGCTTTGCATGCTCCTGATCTGATAGGGTTTTTGCTCTAATTGAGTAGAAAGGATACTTTTCTTTTAGCATGTTTGCTTTTTCAGGGCAAAACAGAAAGATTATAGATTAAAGCTAAAATGATCTCTGTTTAAACTATTCAGTCAACCTAAATTATTGTCCATAATGAGAACATACTGTTGCACTCTCTAAAATGTTTTGAAATATAGTAAAAATGAAACATAAAAGAATGATATGAGACAACAATAAAAAATAAACAAGAAGAACAGAAGTTTAGTGAGAGAAAGTGCTGTTGCACAATGTAAAGGAAGAATTAAAAAAGCTGTTCCAGAGTCTTCTTTTTTAGAAACCTTTTTATTGGTATGTGTAAAATGTGTTCAGCATGTGTCTGTGCTTCTCTCTTTCTTTGTTTTCATCTTGCTTCAATTTTCCAAAGGAAGGCTTCTGTATTTTAGGTAAAGACCGATATCATTCATAAGTCACACAAACGAAGATACGTTTGTATAAAAAGTGTGTTCCTCTATCACTTAAGGAATTTAACAGGTCAGATCGTAGGTATAAGCAGATTTGTAGACAGCTTACAGCCTACTGCTGGATCGAGGACGTTAAAAAAAAATGTATTCACACATGACCGGTTTATGAATGCAGCTTTTGTATTTAAACTAAAAACAAACAAATATAAAAACAAACAAATAAAAACATAGGTATATCAGTGAAGCAAGCAGGAAATTGGAATGAGTGTACTTTCAGGTAAAATAGTAAAAAACTCTCACCATTTACCTCTATTTTTGGTCTTTAAAAATCATTTGCCAAAAGGGCATACTTTGATATGCCCTTTGAGCTTAATAAAATCAGAGTTATGTTAGGGCAGAGTCTTGCTCAGAGAAAATCGTAGCTATTTTCAATCTTAAAGTTGTTTCAGTTCCTGTTTGTCACATGTGGCTTTGCTTCAAGGTAAATTACTTAACCCTAAACTGACTACAGTACTAGTCTGCTTATGTGTATATGTTAGGATGAATGTGGCTCCAGAATAAAGTACTCTAAGTCAGTTAAATAATCCAATGTCTCCATGCCTTCCTATTCGGGATTCCAAACACCTACCTGAGTAATCAAGAACCAGCTGGAGTTGCTTTTTGTTTCTTCCTCTTTGGATTAAAGGCCTTTAATCCATTTACTAAATCAGCCTTTTATCACCTGAAGAAAATTTCCAGAATTAAAGAACTAATGTCTAAGCAGGATCTAGAAAAACTCATTCATGCCTTTTTCTCTTGTAGAGTTGCTTACTTTAACAGTGTCTTTATAGGTTTGCATAGGAATCCATTAGACAGCAGCAGTTGATCCAAAACACTGCTGCCTGTGTTCTCACTAGAACTAAGAAAGTAGAGCTCATCAGCCCTGTTCTGCAGTCCTTCTGCTGGCTTCATGTAACTCAGAGAATAGACTAAAATCCTTCTGTTATTCTATAAATCATTGAATGGATCAGCACCTCCATACATAACAGATTTGTTGTCACTGTATTAACCCCCCAGACCACTCAGGTCTTCTAATTCAAGCCTACTCTTTAAACCCAGATTTAGAACCATACATGGAGAAGCAGCATTTAATTCCTGTGCTAAACTTATCTGGAACTGATTCCCTGAAAACTTTAAAAGTGTCCTTTTAATATATTTATATTTTTCTTATTTTTCATTTTTTTATTTATTTTACGGTAGCTGATATGGAAGTCCCAAAATCTCATTGTATCCGTTGCAGAATATGATGACAATAAAGGCTTTTTGACTTTGACTTTGACTTTTTTTGACTTTTGACTTTTTTTGAAAGCCTGAGTTATTTAAAGTTAAAACCCATTTAATTAGAGCTGCCTTTTACTGACTCTTAACTGTCAAATGATGTATTATTATAAAGTTGTGGTCCAATTGTTTTATTTGTTTATCTTAGCCTTTATTTTTTAATTTTCTAATTCATCTAAAGTACATTGAATTGTCCATGTACTGAATTGTGCTGTACAAATAAACGTGTCTTACCTTGCCTAAAAAAGATTGAAATCAGTCAAAATCAGATTAATGTGGCCACACCCCAAAAAGAGAAAGGAAATCCATATTATTTGTGAACAATCAATTCCATGATTTAAAAGTAATGAGACCTATGCAATATTTTTATGGTATACTTATTTTTGAACTGCAGTTTCATTTAATTCACTCTGCAACTGCTTATAAATTAAACAGAATTAAATAAAACTTCTATTTTTATTCTTTTTATGCTCTTAAATATTATGTTGCGTTTTTGTATTTATCCATGCCTAGATTTCTTTTTTTTTTTTTTTTTTGGAGGAAACAAAGTTTTTGGGTCAAGGAGCAAACTGATTTCCTGTGAGAACATCTACATCAGCTCCCCCAACTTCCTCTCCATGTGCATCCTCCCACCCTTTTTCCCTCCCATCTGCCTGTAGACTTCCCTCTTTGTCGTCTGACTGTTTTGATCTCTCCTTTACGTTGACATGCAGGATGTGTGTCTTAACTAAACCTTGATGTTTGAGCAGCTTTGTGAATGTGCAAAGCGATGGGAACTTCCTTTCCTCTTGTTAGAACAGGATTTAATGTCTCTGGGAGACACACAGTGTCAGGTTCAAGCACCAATCATAACAGCACACAAGGAAGGAAAGACAAGGGCATTATGAGATTATGCTATGTCCTGCAGCGCGTCTAGAGCAGCTTGAGCAGCGCATCTTGACGCATCTGAGCAGCCGAAGCAGTGCCTCGTGTGCTTCTGAACATCTGAGGTGCTTCACAAGCAGCGGATGCTAGAGTTGGAAAAATAGAACTTTTGCTGCTTGACGCGCCACATCAACCAATCAGAGAAGCTGATTTGGGAGCTGGCAGGTACTTCTTACCTGAAATGTTAACATCTACTTCCAGCCTCCCAAGAGGCAACCGTGCCTTAGGCAGCGGTTAATGGGGATTCCCAGTGACAGCGCACCGCTGGTATGTGGAGGTCTGTGCAGCTCCAACAGTGAAATAATATTTTAAGGCAAACATAAAAAGGTCCTGCAGTGCGCTTTAAGCAGCAGAAGCAGTGCCTCACGAGCTTCTGAGCATCTGAGGTGTGCGGCCACTGAACCAGGAGAGTCCAATCTACACAGGATAAACCAGGTTGGACTCACCTGGTTCAGTGGCTGGGTAGAACAAAAACATGACATAGAGATGACTTGTTCCCTCCAGATCCCCCATCTCTGGCGCAACACACTTCACAAGCTGCAGATGCTTGGACTGGAAAAATGTGTTTTTGCTGGCTGACGTGCCTTATCAACCAATCAGAGAAGCTGATGTGGCAGGGAGACGGACATAACTGCTGATGCAGTTTGCTATGATCACTCCCCTGAAACTGTTTATTAATGTCAAAATTAACTTAAAATGACAAAGCCTTCTGACAAATTATGTTTGCTTTTATTACTCCGGTGCCTGCAGTTTGTAGCATATACCTGAAAAAGAGATGTATCTGGACACACTTTACTGGATGCACCTCAGGAGCATCAAAAAAGCTCTGGAGGTTTGTCTGACCTTAATGTGGACAAGCATCAAAAATTAAACAGCAGAAGCTTTTTTGCTGATGAGCTTGCATTAGCAGCAGCAGCAGCAATGCTATGTGACATAGGCAGAAGCAGTTTCCAAAAGTTAATCTTGGGGTCAAAAGAATGTTACTATCTTCTGGTTCCAGAACTAGCTTTTGCCCCAGCAGCATACCTATGGTTATGATCACACTGCTCTATATTTATCAGAACATAATACAATTCTTTAGGGTGTGGCAACACGCTTGTCCTTATGCAAAGACATCTCAACATAGAAATGAGTACAAAGGCCACTCTAAGGTCACTGTAGTATCTGTCTGTCCATCCATCCATCCATCCATCCATCCATCCATCCATCCATCCATCCATCCATCCATCCATCCATCCATCCATCCATCCATCCATCCATCCATCNCATCCATCCATCCATCCATCCATCCATCCATCCATCCATCCATCCATCCATCCATCCATCCATCCATCCATCCATCCATCCATCCATCTCTATCGCTATATCTAAATCTGTCTGTTCTTCTGTCTGTCTATATATTATCAGTTCTTTTTTTTAATTTAAAGATACATTTTATGAGTTGCATAAAAAACACCAAATGTTTTAGCTGGAAAGCCAGCATTTAAGACACTAACTTAAATCTACAGTTACACATACACTCTTTTATGAATGATTATCTTGAAATGAAAGTAAAATGAGATATACTGAAAATGAAAATGTAATGATAATATGTGATTGTTCATGAACTGTTATGTTCTTTCAGATGCTGATTCCAGCTGTGTCCTTCATCACTCTGGGGAAATGCAGCTGCTGCTGGAATGAAAGCTTAATGGTAGGAGACCTTTATGGTGGGATCAGTGCTCAAAATATGCTGTGAGAACATTCAGCAACAGAAACTGTTTACAGCCTAAACATCCAGAAACTCTGATGATCAGAAAACCAGCACTTGTGTTTGATCCTTATTTGTTCAGCTACTGTAAATCATTATATTTCCTAGTAATGAAATTTCTAAGCTATTATTATGATAACAGTTATGATATTATTATAAATTGTATCATTATATTTATTTTGCTGTCACCACTCAACGAATGTGTATACTGAAGTTTTCAGCCAGTACGTTAACAGCAGGTTCCATTAAGTGGAGTTAAAATGCTAATTCCAACTCTCTCTTGATCACAACAAGGCTCCCAGTGTTAAGACACACGCACCAAAGTAAGCTTGACTCATGCATTCAAGCCACGTGCACAGCTGCGCCTGTGCTTGTGTGAGCGTTGCAGCTGTGTCTGCCTTTCATAGAGACACGGATAAGCAAATAATTCATTCGTTCACACAGAAAGTACACTCTCATGGACAAACCAAAACACTTCTTATTGCTTTTTAAAAATCTGATTGTGTGCCGCTGTGCTTTCACAGATGTGCGGCTCGGTTCTGGCAGCTATCATTGGCCTCCTGGGCTCTGCTTACTGTTTCGTCATATCAGGACTTGCTTTGGTGCAGGGTCCCCACTGCTTCACCTCCTATGGGTGGTCATACCCCTTTGCAGATCAGTATGGCAGGTAAGGACATGCTATAAATAAACACTTCATATAAAGGAAATTAACATCACCAGGATAATAATAAGATAATCATTCTTTCACATATCTTAAGTCTGTTACCTTTCAATAGTGGTCATAGTGTTTTGTCATATAAAAACTAAAGCTCATCTTCTATAAGCGTTCTTTTTTCTCATCACTGTAAGGAACAATTCACTAAAGGATTTGGTGACATCAAACTATTTATTGGCATGTATGTGTATGAGACAATCCTTTGTGTTGTTTTTAGTTTGTAATTTGGTACTTTAAAACTTTCTTTAGAATTGTTGATTTATGAACCCTGATCTTAACTGAAACAAGCGAGGTTTGCTTTTGGTGTTCTGGGTTTTATTTTGTCTTCCTTCCTGACCTTCTGGATAATTTATGCTTGTGGATAAGTAGCCTAGCCACTCCTGGGAACATTCTCAACTATTTCAATGTTTTTTCTCTGTGCTGATAATGGTGCTTACTTTGGTTCACAGGTGTGACAAAGCCTTAGAAACAGCTTTGTAACCCTCCCATACAGATAGCGTTGAATGACTTATGATTAATTTGTTCTTGAACGTTCATTTGGAAAGGAGTAGGATGTGTTGCTAGGACCAGTGTTTTTTGTAACATATGTTTTTTTTTTTTTTTTAAATCATTCTCTGCTTTTCGCTAAAGAAAAACAACCTAGCAGCCAGAACAACCCAAAAACATTGAAACTGTTCTTCTTTTTTTCTTATTTAGTAAGTGATACCCTCTTTGTCTTTTCTGTTTTTTACAGGTATTTGCTGAAGCCTGAAATTTGGCCACAGTGTCATCAGCCACTGAACATTGTTGAGTGGAACGTCACTCTCTTGTGTGTGTTATTGGGCCTCGCAGTGCTGGAGTTCATTATCTGTCTTTTACAGCTTGGAAATGGTTTGGTGAATGCCATCTGCCGGCCCTGCTGCTACAAGCAGGAGTATAGTCTTAATGCTTAGAAGGAAACATGAGAAGGTATATTCTGCACAGACAACAAGCAGAAAAACACACAAACACTACAATAATGCTCACTTCCTGTACATATGTTAAAGTCTGCACACTTGATTCTGAATCGGCAACTGTAAAATAGAGGCATTTAGTTATTTCATACTGATGATCTAAAGTTGAGGGATGATGGATTTAATGGAAGTGATTGTAGCTTTGTTACATATCTCTGTTCTGAACATGTTGCATTAGGGTGTTCTCTCAATTGCACATGTCAATATTAAAACTTTTCAAAGTCAGCTCATTATCACAAAGAAGTGTGTAAATAAGTCTTGTTATTGGGAGCTGTATTGGGTCTAGAAATGCTCTTGAAAGAGACAGTAAGCATTCCCATGATTTGATTTGATGATTTTATAATCTTCAGCATCATCCTGTCAAGTTTTTAGATTTTTTTTCTTTTTTTTTAGTTTTTTTTTTTACTTTGAATACCTGTTGTTGTAAACTGTTTCCTGGATATCTACCAGTTGCTAATTCATTACTGACTGATATTTTATATCTGTTTTTAGTGAAGTTTTTAAAGTCCTGTGTGTTTTTCGGTGCCTTGAATAAATGAATTATGAATTATTTACATTTTATATGTAGGGTTGGTTTGGTTTTTACAATGTCATCAGAAAGCATTGGTTAACATCGATGAAATAAAGAAAGACAAAATGTGTAATTTCATATATATAAATATGTATATACATGGGCTGGTCAGTGGAGCAGTCGGTAGCACTGCTGCTTTTCAGCAAGAAGGTTTCCGAGTTTGATTCCTGGCCTGGGGTCTTTCTGCATGGAGTTTGCATGTTCTCCCTGAGCATGAGTGGGTTCTATCTTCATCCCACAGTCCGCAAAACATGACTGTTAAGTTCATTCTCTAAATTCTCCTTAGGTGTGAGTGTTTGCGTGAATGGTTGTCTCTGTGTTGCACTGCGATGGATGGTCCAGAGTGTACCCCGCCTTTCGTCCATAGACAGCTGGAGGCAGCCGGCACCCCTCGCAGCCCTGCTTGGAATAAGCATGGCAGAAAATGGATGGATGTATAGACATGAATATGTATGAAAATTTATGTAATTACATTAAATTTCTGCATAATTCCTATATTCCTATATCCTATATTCCACACAAATAGAATGTATATATAAATATTGTAATACAAACATCCATATTTACACCATATGCCCTTCAATAAAGCATTTTAGTTTGGAATATAAATCCTCTAAAAAACTCCTGTTTAAAATTAGGCAAGAGTTGCATAGACAGGATCAGGACTGCTGGAATAATGTTTCTTTGAATAGATGAATCTAGAATTTCAACCCAGAACAGTTTGGGATAGGGTATCATGCACAATTCAATGTCAAGATAAAGAACTGGATACTAACTATGAATAATAAAACTGGTGAAATGGTTTGTGGATGATTTGCTGGAGAAAGCCTCAGCCAGGTCATCACCATGGATTCCAACTGGACTCTCAGCCAAAGATCAGAGTGGGTCAAACTTTTCTCAGACTGATATCTAACAAAGTAGGTGACAGCAAGAAGGCTCTCACTGAGGTTCGTTTAGTCAACAGTGGTTTGGGATCTATGTTTTCTTCCCAGTAAAAATACCCAGTTTTGCTGATAACTTTTGTTTAATGAGCAAAAAGAATACCGATTTGTTCCCCTGTAATTAAACTTTAAAAAAAATTTAAATGCATATTTTCACTTGTTTGTGTGTCTTTCTATATTCCTTTTTCTTTTTATGACTGTTTGTATAATCTGTTTATCTAAATCTTTTTTTTCTAATTAAAGTATTTTGGTCCTTATATCTGCAGAAATTACAAGGAAAACAATAGACACTGATGTTTTTAGAAAGGGCAAATACTTATCTTGGTGAATAGAGATCCTTTCCCAGACATGTTTTGATTTTGGACTTTCCAAAATGACCTATTGTTTGGTTTAGCCCCAAGTTGAGTAAATTTTACCTTTAACCATGACAGACAAGATAGCCCCCACCGTAATTTAGAGTCCAAAGTATTTTTTTGCGATGCTGGGAAATAACAAAATTACGCAGACAAATTAAAATAAAAAAATATTTATAAATCAGTTATTGGGTTTAATCATTCTGATAGGTGTATTTTTGTAACTGAATAATAAATATTGCCCCAAAGAAATGTTTTGAAAACACTTGGAAAATAGTTTTGACTGAATCAAAAGTCAAAGTATTTTCCCTCCCTGGTAAATCATTTTGACTGTGGTGTCCATGATTTATATTTGTGATTATATAACAAAGGAAAAAACTTAAACAACTGAGTGTTTTGTGTCAGTTGAAATGAGTCGCTTCAATATGAAATCTTCACACCCTTCCTGCCTTTCCACACAATCCTTCCTCACAATAAATGTATGATTAAAAGACTCTGATCTAAACTACATCATGTTCTGCTGCTAAATTAGAGAAATCAGTTGAATGGTTAATGTTTGGATGTTCTCAGACGTTATGCAAGTGTGACCCGCTGATTAAACAGTTGGCTGTCATTTGTCCCGCTGTCCGATGGTCAGTGACCCCTTGAGCTTTTTGCCTAATCTCAGCAGTATAAAGGCGTAGAGAAGACATGCATGTTGCAGTGCTCTGTGGTCTGTCTTTGCATCAGTATCCTCTGCTGAGTTGTTCAGGGGTAACAGAACACAAGTAGTTATTTTTGCTACCGGTAATTTTTCTTAGATGTTGATTTGAAAAAAATCAAACATCAAGGTTTGAAAATGAAAAATGTAGCATTTGTGTTGGTGTTAGCTTGCACAGCAATATGTGCTGCTGGAATGACCAGACAATACTTCCTCAGGATAGAGGAGGTGTCTTGGAATTACGCTCCAAGTGGGAAGAACATTATCCAGAATGTAACACTGCAGGAGGATGAGTAAGTACAACCGTTCAACAAATTCTCACACTGTTCATTCTGAAGACTGTAAAATAACATATTACTGAGGCCCAGATTGACCTTTTGATAGAAAAAGATAAGAAAAAGAGGAACAAGAATATTTATGTGAATAAATACACACAGCTCAAACTTTTCTTATGTAATCACTTAAAAAAAAAGAATGTTCACTTTTGCTAAATTTAAAGCATTTGAAAAACGTGTTTTCAAGGAGTCAATTTCCACATTCCACATTCTAAATTTGTCAAAATATACACGTGAAATGTTTTCTCAAAGGCTTTCCACACGCTAACAACATGGCAAAATATTTTCTATATATGTATTTTTTGATGAAGGAATAACAGGCTCTTTAGGGTTTTTAGCCATTTCTCTCATATACAGTATGTTGTAATCTTCAAAGAAATTAAAAGTTGAGTGTTCTTCAGATTTAAGTGGGCAATTATCATGTTTAAATAATTAAGGGCTCAGTTTGTGTGTGAATACTCTATATAATGAGTTTAACTAAGTAAAAATAATCTACTTTTCAGTAGTAAACTGATTTATTGTCACTTTCTAGAAACCTTTAAAATTGAACCATATTTTCCTCTTAAGTACTTGTGGGAATACAGATCTAATTTACTCTCTCTGTACTGATCATCAGCAGTAATGCCATTTTGGGTAAAGGTATGTATGCATTTAGAGAGCTTTTAATAATTAGAGAACTTTACTGGATTACTAGCAATAAAACATTTAAAGGCTCTCAGCTTCATTAGACCCCACAAACATTTACTTATGAGTAACAGTAAGTAAAAAATCATGAAAAGAAAATGAATATTTAAAAAATTAATCTGACTCACTTTTGTTGCACACATGCTCTACTATAAATTCATCATACTTAAAACACTCCTGAAAGAATCTTCCTTTTTAAATTAACCAGAGATCAAACATTTCTTAAAGTAATAAGTCCAAACTGTATGTTCATAAGTAACTACTTTTCTTTCTGCCAAATTGTCTTTGCAGAGATGCCTCTGTGTTTTTAGTAAAAGGCCCCCAGCGCATTGGCCCAGTCTACAAAAAGGCTGTTTACAAACAGTACAGTGACGCCACCTACAGGACGGAAGTACAGAAGCCCGAATGGCTAGGTTACCTGGGGCCCTTGCTGATGGCTGAGGAGGGGGACACATTGATTGTCCACCTTAAAAACATAGCTTCCAGACCGTACAATATCCACCCACATGGACTCAATTACACTAAAGATAATGAGGGTGAGAGATCAGAAAACCGAAGAAAAGCTAAAGCCTTAAATATTTGCTAAAAGGAGGATATGAGTTTGTTTGCATGTGCTTCCCCTCAGGAGCCTTGTACCCAGATGGCACTGGTCCAGAGCTGAAGAGGGATGACGCCATACCTCCTGGTGGAACATTAACTTATCAATGGACCCTCCCAGAATCCCACAGCCCAACAGCTGAGGATAGTAACTGTATGACCAGGTTCTACCACTCTCATGTCCGCCCCCCTAAAGATATTAACTCAGGACTCATCGGACCTCTTCTTATCTGCAAAAGAGGTACTTTTTTAACCCAGATAACCAGTAGAATGTTTTTGTGTACTCCTGGGTATTTCTTAAGCATACATACATATTGGGTACAATGCAATTACAAAGGCCACACACCCCTTCGCATTTATAACAGCTTTAATTCTTACTGGAATAGATTCTAAGTGAAAGCAAATTGTACATTAAATAGTGAGGTGTTATCCCATTTAGGACTATATGGGTTATATGTTTATGCTTTCTCAAAAGAGATTATTCATCTAAATGTTCGTGCAATAAGAAGCACCTGTCCAAGTGAGCAGAGATACAAATGAGGTTATAAAAATCTCAGCGAACAATATTTGTCTCAGATTTGACTAAATGTTGGGCCTTCGTTATTTTTTTGTTTTGCCATAGAAGGCTCTACTTTTTTGTTTTGTTTTTAAGTATGTTAACTATTCTGCAGTTTTTATTTTATATCTGTGGGCAGATAGATTTATATTATATTCGTACAACAATATAAGCAATCCATGTTTGTGGTAATGATTAATCCTAATGGCATCCTCCTCTCAGCCACTTCCTCCACTGAGTCCAGAGTCTGGGCTTCACTCTGGACTCAGTGGAGGAAGTGGCTGAGAGGATGGTGCTGTCCAAGCATACATGCATCATGGACAACACCTTCCATCCTCTGCACCAGAGTGTAGAGGAGCTGACCAGCACATTAAGTGAAAGACTCCTACACCCTGTTTTTAAAAAGGAGCGCTACCGCGGGTCATTCGTCGCTGCTGCAAACAAACTCTACAATGCGACACCACTACAGCAATAACTTGTGCAAAGTATGATATTTAATTTATTGTTTGACACACTGTGCAATAACCTGTTTCTCTATATTTGACACCCAGTGCAATAACTATATATATATATATAAATATAAATATCCATCTATATAAATACCCATATAATCACCCTGTGCAATAACCCTGTATAATAATCCAAAAAAATAAAAAAATAAATAAATAAAAAGCTGTTATATGTGGACGCACTGTATATTCTGTATATATCCCATTCACCTTTTTCTTCCTTTGGCACCTTCTTCTTCTTCTTTGACTATTTGAGCTGAGCTAACAAGTACATTTCCCCACTGTAAGATCAATAAAGTCAATCAACCACTGAATAAATCAATATAGGCTGTGAAAACAGGAAAGGGCACAGGATGGGTTCTTGAAGTTCTCCACATGTGAGTGGAGCAGCAACTGAAACAAATCTTTTAACCTGAGCAAATTAACTTCTTTCGGTCAGATATTTATTTCAGTTTTATTGTTCCACTTTAGATAGGAAATTGGGATACAATCCTTTTCTAAGTAGAACCAAGGTCTAAAAGCACAAGTAAAACAGAAAACCCTTAACAGGTAATAAAAATTATTTTTCGAGTTGTTTGAGACACGAGTGAGATATATTTTAAAAATTGTGTTTCTTAAAATTTCTTAAAATCTGAAACTGCAAAAGAGGAATCTTCCCAAGGACATTAAACTGAGGATATAATGAAAAAAATTAAACTCCACATCATTGGTGGAAAACTTTTATTCGTTTATGGTGTATTAATGACTGAATATGAACAATACTTGGCCCAAATACTAAACCCCAAAGAGGCTAATAAAAAGCCCACCAAAAAAAAGAAAAATTTAAAAAGTAATGGAAGTTGAAAAAGACCACTTCTTTATTGACAAATCTCCCTGTCTAACTTTAAAAGGCATCCAGAATGTTTAAAGTTAAAGACCATTGTGGCACAGGAAATAATTCTTTCAAGACCTGCTTGAAACAACCATTCAAGATTAAGTGATTGCTGAAACAGAAGTAATACAGCGCATAAAATAAATAATTCACAAAAGTAAAACAGCTGCAAATGCAGCAAAAAACAAAACAAAAAAAACATTACACGATGCATTCTTTAACAAATGGAAGAAAATTTTAAGATAATTTAATTAGATAAAATCAACTGCTTAACGATTAGCCCAATATCTTATTTGATCTGTTCTGCAGGAACTCTGGACCTCCATGGTGAAAGGACAGCCGACTACACATATGCTCTGTTGTTCATGGTGTCAGATGAAAACCTCAGCTGGTATCTTGATGAAAACATCAGGACACACATCACAAATCCCATCAGAGACCTGAAGGAGAATGAGGATTTTATGGAGAGCAACAAGATGCATGGTGAGGGCTTGTGCTGGGTTGGTGTTATTTTCAATCTTTGTATGGAAACACCAGTTTTTGTTGAACAAATGTAAGATTAACTTTTTAACTATGTCACAGGGATAAATGGTTACCTTTATGGTAATCTACCCGGACTGACCATGTGTCAGGGCAACAAGATCAACTGGCACATGATTGGCCTTGGCAATGAGGTAAATGTTTCATTATAATGATTTTATAGGTCTGCTTGGATTATTTTATATCCTCTGTTACCTGCAGAATGTGATACATCAGCTTCATAACTGAACTTGTTTATCAAGCTGTATTGAAATTAGATTTTTTCCATTAATGTTAACAAAAAGTTCTTGTTATGCACAAATTAATGTTCAAGTAATGTAATATTATTTATTTAAAAAAATCTGATTAAAAGAATAAAGACATTTACAGTATTTCTCACTGCTTATTTCTGGTGTTAGACTCACTTTCAGGTACAGCTGAACATAATCCCTAGCCTAGTAAACTAGCCCCGCCCGCCAGCAGCCAAAATAATTTCTGCCTGCGAGTTACACATTTAATCTCACAGTTAGTCTGGTTTATCAGGCTACATAATCCCTGCAAATAGTTGTTAACATCTAGGTTCGAGGTTTCAATCTAGCTATACGGTTTAATATGGCTAATGAAAAAAAAAACTTTTAGAAATGTATATATATATATATATACATATTATATGTATATATGTATTGTATGTGTGTGTGTTTTTTTAAGTGCTTTATTTCTAGTTGAGGAAAAAAGAAAGTAAGTCATTGTGTGTAAAGGATCATGCTTAACATTATAATGCTACCTGTCTCACAGGTGGACATGCACTCAGTTCATTTCCATGGCCAGATTTTAACCATCCTGAACCACCACACAGACATGGTCAGCCTTTTCCCTGCCTCCAGCACCACTGCTCAAATGGTGGCTGACAACCCCGGAAACTGGCTTTTAACCTGCACCGTCAATGATCACCTGATGGGTAACAAAAAGTCTCCCAGTCTCCAAATGGAGCTAGTAACTCTAATAACAATATATAAGTGATTATTTCAAAACATTGCTAAATTCTTCATTTTTTTTTTGTCTTTTGCTTTGAATTTGATTCCAGCTGGAATGCAGGCTTTGTTTGAAATAAAGAAATGTTTCCCAAATGTCCATAAGCCACGTCCTCATGGTGAGCTCAGGCAGTACTTCATTGCAGCTGAAGAAGAGGTCTGGGATTATGCACCCACAATACCAAGTGAAAGGTTGGTTAATCCAGATACTAACAGACTTTAATACAAAAATTATGTCTCATCTATTATGACCTTCTCCAACTACATTCTGTTCTTCCTGTGTGCAGTGAGGCAGGGACATTTGTAACTAAAGGGCCAAACCGCATTGGGAGCCGATATAAGAAGGTTCGATATGTGGAATATACTGACAACACTTTCATGACAAAGATGTTACGAGGCCCGGAGGAGGAACATCTAGGAATTCTTGGTAAATCAAACAGAACAGCCGAACAAACTGCTGTTTTTTTTTCTTCTTTTTTGTATCCAATCAAATTAAGACTAAACTAATTGACTTGGATGGACTAAAAAGTCTGTCTTGATTAGGAAATGAAAAATTTAGCCATATGTAATACAAGTTTATTTAGCTCTTTGAACATTCTCCATCACACCTCTTTTTCTCGCTGTTATTTCAATAGTAAATCTTTAAATCTCCCCTCTCTCTCTCGACTGTTCACAGGTCCTGTGTTGCGAGCTGAGGAAAAAGACACGATCAAGGTGATTTTTAAGAACAAAGCCAGCCGGCCTTACACGATCCAGCCACATGGAGTTCAATACACTATTGAACAGGATGGAACACTTTACTACAATGAATTAGAAGGTAAATAAAACTGCTGTTACCAATGTTCCTGATAACTTTATGGCTTTTGTTTAATGCTCCTCCCTCATTTGAGCGCTAAATATTCCTTTTCTCAGAGACACACACAGCAAAGAAACTACGGGAACTCAAGAGAGAGCCAAGTAAGTTCAGATTAGCATTACAGAACCAAAGTAAAAGTCTCCTTAATATTCTAACTTTGGATAATAACATCTTTAACTCACAATGCAATGATTGCAGGGGTGGTGACTCCTCCTCCAGCTGCTCTGGTCAGACCTGGGGCAGTGTACACCTATGAGTGGACAGTCCCTGTGGGTGCAGGTCCAGTGCAAGGGGAACCTGACTGTCTGACCTACCTGTACTACTCTGCAGTTAACCTTGTTAAAGACACAAGCTCTGGGTTGGTTGGACCTCTTCTTGTCTGTCGACCTAGATCTCTGAAGAAAGGACAGCAGGTAAAAGAATGATGATCACATTCTTTATGAGAAGAATTTCAGAGATAAGTGTCCATTTCTTTTCTGTTTCTACATACTGCAAGCCGCTCATGGTTTTAAAGTCAGTAATCATCCATGAGCTTTCTGTGTACAGTTCTTTTCTTAACACTATGATATTTTCCAAAACTTTGGTAATTTACATGATACAGCCAGTGCTACTAGAAATAATTACATACAAAGAGAATTTAAAATGTACTTTCCTGGAATAAAAAAAAAAACAAGATATCCATAATATACCAGTTACTTTCACAGAGTCTTAGGGATAACCTCTTAACTTTGAGGTTCTGTGATGTAAAGGATCACAAATTTTCTTGTAAGTTACTGAAAAGTTTCTGCTAGGTACAGTACTTTGTAAGTCCTATGAAAGTACTTGGTTAGTCCCACAATGTAATTGATAAGTTCTGGAAAGTAACCACTGCTTTCCACTTCTGGGAAAGTCCCTGGTTATTTAAATTACAGTTAGTGGTAAATTACTATAAGCTCTACACTCTTAGAAAGTCACAGGTACGTTCTTCTTAATAGGTTTAAGAAGAGTAACCTAGCTCAATAAATTTTCTTAAGCAAGTAGGGGAGCAGCTAAACACATCACTACATTCTAAAAGGTTTTATATTCTTTCCTCATCTTATGTAGAAGAACTATAACAAAGAGTTTCACCTCATGGCCACAGTGTTTGATGAGAACCTCAGTTGGTATTTGGATGAAAATATCCGCACATTCACCACAGCTCCAAGCACTGTCAATAAGGAGGACGAGGACTTCATGGAGAGCAATAAAATGCATGGTGAGTACTGTCTTAATTACTAGTCCCCTCAGTCTCTACATCTGGTATTCTTAAGTCTGGGCAACATGTTTAATTTTTAGCAAGGAGTGTAATATTTCTATTTATGTATTTTTTCTGTTTATCAGTTTAAGTTATTTTCCTTATTATGTCAGAGTCATGCATCATCTGAATTCCAACATCTTGTTTGAACTGAACCACATATCTCTCCCTCTCTTTTAGCAATCAATGGGTTTGTGTACAGGAATCTGCCAGGCCTGACGATGTGTAAGGGAGATAAAACCACATGGCACCTCTCGGGCCTGGGCACGGAGACAGACATAATCACCCTTTACTTCCAGGGAAACAGATTTCTGTATCGCCAAACCAGAAGAGACACCATCAGTGTTTTCCCTCACATCTCGCACACAGTTACTATGGAGCCAGACAGCATGGGTATGCTTGTTTTGCTCAGGCTCTGCCTACCCACAACTTCCAAAAAGTTGAAAACTATATTTATGAACAATAATGCATGAAATGAACCTCAACAAAAATACCAAAAGGGGGCTTTACTCACCTGCTTATTCAGTAAGGAGCAATATATATATATA